TGCGTTACTAGAAAAGTAACGCAAAAAAGCGTTAAAGTAACGCAAATAACGCTGCGTTACTCGTTACAAAAGCTATGAAAAATAAACGCATGCGTTACTTCGTTACCAGTAACGCAGTAACGCATGCGTTACTCGTTATCAGTAACGCAGTAACGCATGCGTTACTCGTTACCAGTAACGCAATAACGCATGCGTTACTGCGTTACCTGTAAAGAAACGGTAAAGCGCCACCCCTAATACTGGATCCAGCAGATCAGGCGTGCTTTCAAAGTATAGTGCGTTCCAAGCTCGGTAAAATATTATTTGGAAATCTATTCAAATTTTGTTTTCCATCTAACAAAAACAACATACGAAAAAATTCGTCCAGAAAAAAAACGTCTAGCAAAAAAGCATATCAACATGTGACGAAAAAACGCCCACTAAAAGGCGTCAACTTTTGGACCCTTTTTTTTACCGTGTATATCCAGTGTTACGTATATGTATGATCGTTTTTTTTCTGTTTATGCACGACGGTACATTTGTTTCTTTGTATTTTTAGTCCACATATACAGTAGTGCTCTTCGTCTTCTTTTCTGGTATCACTCTTTTTATCTGTATATATCGCGTGTGTTTTATTATTTTTAAAATATATACATTTAGTTTACATCACAGTACGGTCGCATATTTTTCATAGTAAAAAAGGGATGAGCAGTGTCTTTCTTTATGGTTTTTCACTGCTAGTGTAAGCAGGCGCTTACGCGTATAAAAGGAAGAGAGCAGAAAGAGTAAAAATGTTTTTTTTTCTCTTCTAACAGGATGGACAGTTACACGTCCGATCATGTGAACAGAGCTTAAAAGTATATAATTTTTAGCCCAACTTTCTGCTGGCCAGATGAATTCATATTGTACGAGTATGAACATTAGCGGGACGGGCACTCAGTGTCTTCGATATTATTATTATTTTACAAATTCAAATGAAATTCAACGAATAACGGTGAAGTTAGACACAGATGGAAATAGTAGCATTATTGATGAAGTAACAGGCATACCTCGTAATGGAAGGATTGAAGAGAATAAAACATTCGATTCAACAACACCATCAGGTTACAGGGTAAGCGACGTATATGTAATTATTATTTTGACATACGAAATAATCAAATTGAAAATAATAAATGCATGTGTGAGAAATAGCGTTATTTCATTCTTTGTTGGTGATCAGTCCCAAATGTTAGTATTTTATTTAATTTTTCATTTCATATTAATTTCAGCTGATTTTTGAAATGGCACAACAAACTGGCACTGGAATATATTACACAGCAATAGATGAAATTAGTGTATCATTGGGCAGTTGTCGTACGGTTTTGGGTTTGGCTGCTTATCGACTGTTGTTATGAGTTGGTTGATTATAACACAAATATAGTGCAGAGTGAAGCGAATCAGTAATATTCTTGCACGCTAATCATCGTTTTGTGAGCAGAATCAAGTCTAGAAGTTTTGATGATCATTGTATAGATATATGAATAAGATCTGTCTCTGTCGATCTATACAAAACTTCTTCAAACTTTCGCTCTGGGACGGATTTAAAAGTGGATTCTAATTCGCATTAAGTGAGACGAAACTGATCACTAGAACTGTTTTGTTTGTAATCAAGAATGAGTGAAGACGATCTGAGTCATTTTCAACTGGATAATTTTGTTCTGGATTTATCGCATTCTACGTTGTGTGTAGGTAAGAATGAACTTATTAGTCATAATTATCATTAACAGAATCCGATATTCATTTGTTCTGTGGTTCTAAGCGGGGCCAGTTTCCGCTAGAATTTGAGCGAACAACGGTATAGTAGCTATGCATTATACCGGCAGGACTCCATCAGATACAATCTCGCAATAAACTAAAAGTTCGTATTGTGCTAGACATCTCTAAAATCTCATGTTTTTCAACATGGATTAGTGATTCGTTCCACTTTGCTTTATACATATTGTGATAAAACGAATGTATTGCTAGTATGCTACCGTTTGTTTTAACTTCATGATAAAAATTGTTTTCATCCAATTTTCTCTCTATCTCATTTAGCTAACGTACCTTCAAGCACCCCGATATCACCGGTGAGAATGTTCAAAACTGTTCCCGATAATTTTATTGTTAGCCAATAACTTTAAGGATTTTACGGGCTTGTACTGGATAAGTTTAAGTTTATTTTGATGTTTTTTATCTGTGCAATTCCTTTTCTCTCACAATTGAACAGCTATATTCTATGGGAACCGCCTACTTAGTAAACAGCTGTGGGCACATTTATCTGAATACTGTATACCTATTTTAGTCCACCGTTCCAATAACTACGACAACACCAGTGGAAGGTGGAACAACAATATCCATTACAACCACACCGTATACTATTCTCAAAACATCATTCCTCCCGCGATTAACAATTTAATTTCCTTCTTATAGGGTATTTGAAGCCACAACCAGTAAAGTGCTTGCTACGGCAACACCAGTTGTCATTATAACGACGTATGTTTTTTCACGTCAACGTTCATTAAATCACTACAAATTTCGAATTTACACTTCTTTTCAGGTCCTTACTCCTGTTGAATGTTCAGGATAATTACCACTACTCATGCAGGCACCAATACTTATTGGTTTTATTTCTATGTTTTTCTCACAAAAAGCTTTTTTCTAACGAAAACTAATCTTCTATAATTTTTCAATTACCCAGTTTTGTAGACCAAGGATTTCTCTACAAAATGAGATATAATAGTAATGTTCGTCTTAATTTAGACGAATTAAGTATGTTCGTCGTAGTTAGATAAAAATATTAACTAAACGCTGTACGATCGGTAGTGATATCGGTTTATGGCTCTTTGTCAAGAAGCGATTGCGACAAAAAGAGAAGTAATGAAGAGTTCCGCCATGTCTCATCCTATAGAAAAATGTTTGCTCTACAAGACTGAGTCATCAACAAGTTTTAATACATTGTACTTTTTAATCAATATGATTGAGGAAAAGAGGAAAATATATCGGTAAATATCGGAGCATGTCTAATTACTACCTAAAAAAGCCCGGTCCTTCTCACTACGTACATCTCGTCAAAATACTACTAAATAAAATCATATTTTCTTGTTGTTTTATAGAATAATGTCAGCAGCCACTTCAGTCGTTACGGTATCAACGGTTTGTAAAACAACATTTGTACATTTCTCTTTTATAGAGATCGTCTAGGGTCCTCAAACGTAAATCCAACAGACGCAATAAACTGCTAGTTTATAACTCGATTGTATATGATGGGGTCCTGCCATTGTGTGGCATTGCTACTATAATGTTGTTCGCCCACATTTTAGCGGACAACAGCTCCGTTTTCAGTCGCAGAATATCTAGATGATTAATTAGGATAGCAGATAACCAAAAATTAAGGATTATTGCGAGAGTAGGAAAATCAAGTCAAAATTAGATATTAGTAATACAATAATTAGAAACTATCCAAATCTTCTGTGGCTCTAAACCGAATCGTAAAATGTCAGCAAACAACACTATAGTAGCGATGCCACCGAAAAAGCTTCTTGTCTTTCTATATGCCCATAGTTTCCGATAAAAACCGCCGTCTGAAAGCGGTTAAAACGAAATAAATTAAATTTTCACAGTGACCACAGCCACTATGAATAAAACCAGACCTACCGTAAGTTTGTTTTACAATCACTTTTCAGTTATAGAGGAGTTTAAGTGTTGGAATCTTAGAAGCACTTAGCCCCTACTACGTCCTCAGCCCACAAGGCTGCTTTCGTTTCACTCAAGATCGAATCGTCTGGATATTTTGCTGATGTTCAAGGTTTGAGAGAACAGACATAGACAGACAGTCTCGACACTTCAGAACATAGTAAGAGCTAAACTAAGATTCCAGACTGAAGCTCTTCTGTAACTAAGAAGCGAAAGTATACAGACTTCAAATAAGGTCAGGTATAACTTTTCCCCCTGAAGACCCCACGAATCCAACAAAATTGTTTCATTTTGTATCCGACAGAATTATAGAGATATGTAAGATGTATCATCGTCAACTGGTCATTTTTCGACCATATTCGGTTATGCGGCTAGTCACTGAGACATCATAGATGTACACAAGATAAAGCTTTTCAACTCGACGCGACGGAAATGACCCAGAGTGGTTAAGTCAAATTAAGCTAAATGAGAGATAAACAAGATAGAGATTTCTACTTTGATTGTTATGGTATTCTAGACGACAGACTCTACTTCTGCCACAGTAACGTCGACATTTATAACAACTACAACAACAGTGAGAAAACATAAGACTTGTTATTTCAACGATAATGGGATTATTCTACTAAAATTCATACTATGTTTTTAGCAAGTATTTGTTAAATACTGTTATTTTTTTTAGCGAATTATGGCATTCTCATTGGTATTCCAGTGAGTTTTGGATTACTCGTTTTAGCTATTGCCATTATAGGAGGGCTGATTTATTATTCTAAAGTTGAAAATAAAAACGCAGTTCATCCCGAATCAGGAACGCCATTGAAAGCTATAGTAAAACAAGATGATTCCGATCGATTGAAAGCTACAGTAGATCAAGATGATTCCGAGCGATCGAAAGCTACAGTAGATCAAGATGATTCCGATCGATTGAAAGCTACAGTAGATCAAGATGATTCCGAGCGATCGAAAGCTACAGTAGATCAAGATGATTCCGATCGATTGAAAGCTACAGTAGATCAAGATGATTCCGATCGATTGAAAGCTACAGTAGAACAAGATGGTGCAGAGCTATCGTGGTTGCCGACACCGAACCAGCCGATCGATACTTTGGGAAGTAGTGGAGTAAATTAATACAGTAACACGCAGGTCAATCCAGATATTTATATACTTGTGAGAAATATTTTATCTCGATTAAATCATTTTTAATGGTGAAGAATTTCAGAATCGATAATAAGGCTAACATCACTTTATACATAGCGAGGTTACTGTTCCATTGGAGACTTAAATAAAGATTTTTATTTCATTTTTGCTATTTCTCAAAATAAGAAAAAGATTTCTTGTCTTGTTGTTTATATAGAGTAACCAATCATTGCGATTGTTGTTAATGTATGTAGTCTGTGACGTGGTACAACTTAGCGGACGATATCGAGCATAGTCAGTTCATTCGATGTAATTCGGTTCTATTTATCTTTCTTACTTTGCATAGTATACACTGTACTACACTATGTGCCGGGTGTCCGGAAATTCATAGACCAAAAAGAAAATTAAATATCTCCACCATTTCTCGACCAAACTTCAAGGTTGTTTTTTTGTTTGATAGAGAAACGTTTCAATTTCTATTTCATACGATTGGAACCTCTTGTTAATATTTGAAAAA